CGCTCTTTGTTATGTGTTTCATTACAGTTTTGTCATCGGCTGCTCTGCTGCCAGTAGACCTGTCCATGTTTCTGATTGGTCAGAATTGGTTAGAATTATTTGTTAGATTGTTGAAGTCTAGGCTGATTCATCGAGCTGGTAACATCTTTAGCCTGATTGCTGATCTCAGGTTGCTTCATAGTGCGGGCATTCGATTGGTTAGCTATTATCTGAACAGCTGATTGGTGGGTGGACTCTCCTCACAGCTGAGCGTGAGCTGCTGAGCTCTCTGCCGTCTCGCTTTGGGCTCATTATCTCGGTGTCGCCCTGATTTATTTATTTGATTTGTAAACTGAGGGGTTATTGTCTGTAAATTTCAGGCTTTCCACACAGCGACAACCCTGGTTTTTACAGTGGCACCTGAAGGTGTCGTCTTCCTCTCACGGCGCTCCACTCTCTGCTGGGTTGTTCCCAGTTCATTTGCCGGAGCTGCATGAATGTTACATGAGCTCCCACAATCCTCTGCTGCGGCGTTTGGACAGAGGACGCTCTGTGGCTGCTCTGTCAGAGGTCTCGTGAGAGTCAGCTGACCTCTGAGCATGTGTGAGTGTAGTATCTGGCTCTGTGAGGGCCACTTTTGAGGAAGTTGCATTAAAGAGCTGTTTTGAGGGGTCCAGACCTGGTACTAGAGCTCATAGGTCAAAGGTCACCTGCTGCTGCATACGGCAGCTACTCTTTGTGGGATTGCCAGTTACAGTCTTGGATCAATATATAGTTACTGCCTGTATCACAAATTTGACATCACATCCTTTTTCAGGCTGCATGGAGGTGAATTTTAATTGGCTGGAAACGTCATGTGACCACGCTGTAAACTGGTTAAACACAGAAAGTTTTTTTATTAATGCATCTGAAGACTGAACAATAAAAAGTGCACAGAGTGATTGATGATCAGCACTGCCAAAATAACAAAGAAGAAGAAATGAAAACTGTTATTATAGTGATGGAGTCTGGTACAGCCAGTGTGCTTGTCTGTGATGTAAATATGAAGTAGGAGCAGTAAAAACAGGTACGAGCAGAAGCACAAAGGGGGGTTTATGGTGATATTTAGAAGTATTGCTCACTATGATGTGGAGGATTGTCGTGTGTGTGTACATACGTTTTTCATCATGCACACAGGAAGGCAGGAAGAAGGTATTAAATGTTATAAAAGGCAGTGATGTTGTGTTTAAGTGCTGCTTTGTGCTGAGTATTTAAACACTGACACTGAGTTACTGGTTTCCTCAGCTCTGATGCAGGCTGTGTGTGTTTGTGCGTGTGCATTCTTCGTGTTGTGTGGACATAAGACTTTACATGTTCTCACCGTGAGGACTTACTTTCCTACTGAGGACACAAAATAAAACCACCACGATGTAAATGTGAGCGCAAATGCTTAGAGTAGGAGCAGGAAATGAACGTGAGTCAACGTGATGTGTGTGTGTGTGTTCGTTCGTGTGTGTGTGTGTGTTCGTGTGGTATTCATCTTCCTGTTTTTATTTCAGTGAGTGAGCGGTCGCAGCGTTACCTGCCTGAGACCTGTGCCGACTTCTATAAAGCTCAAACAATGAGCTGATTGTCAGGTTGGTTAGTTAATTGACAAAAACACTCTGAGTTTGTTCTGTAGTTGTTGTGTTTGAGGCAGAAACTTTGCTTCTCATTGTTTTAAAAGGTAATTTTTAACCTCTCTGTCAGAATCGAAGGCATGTGGGCCAAATCCAGACATTCACAAGTTTGAGTCACTTTAGGTTTCTTAAACCCGGCTGTAGGTGCGACTGGCACAGGGATGCAACCGAACTGAGTGAGCTGGCTAACAGCAGGCAGGCTGAAGCTGTGACGGCAGCCTACATGTTTTAGTCAGAAAAGTTTTAAAGTCACAGACGAGAAACTGAAGCTTCAGAAAGCAGCTGAACTGAAAAGAGTCACAACAGAATTGTACCTTCGCTTAAGCTAAAGCTCCACTTTGCAGAGCGTTAAAGGCAAGTTTCAGGGCGGAAGGCCCGGCTGTTTGAAAAACTACGGGGTCAAAGGTCTTTCACTTTTCTTAATTAAATGTTACAGAGGCTAAGGAGCTATTTTGGACTAGTTGAGAGTTTCGTGTGTTTCTAAAGCAGCACACAGAGCTTTTCGATTAAATTTAAGCATGTCTGTAAAATATATTTGTCTGAATGTTTTTGCTGGTCGTCTTCTGCTCTTTGGTGCGTTTGTATATTTCAGTCTTTGTCTCTTTTTGAGCCATTTTATTTTCCATCATGTTTTTGGCTGTTTGGGGTTGTTTTTCACATTTGTCTCATTTCTGGAGTTTTTGTCCTTTTCTTTGATCATTTTGTGTCTTTTTTTTCTGGTTTTGTTTCACTCTTAGACAGTTTTGTCTTTTTGCAGTTTCCTTTTTTATTTGGCAGTTCTTCATTATTTTGGGGGTTTTGTTAAAGCTTTAAATACATGTTAATTCTTACTTCCAAAGAAATAAACCGTCTGTAATTCTTCTGGTAGTTTCATTTTAATGGACAGACTTGAAAGATATAAATTGATTTGCATGTCATTGAGTGAAATAAGTAGTTGATCCCCTACACACCAGCCAGAACTCTGGCTCCTACAACCAATCAATCAGTCACTCAATCACAGACACTCCTGATCTCGTTATGGATATAAACTACACCACCGCTCTACCACCGTGGGCGAGAGCTGTCAAAGGACGTCAGGTACAGGATTGTAGATCTAAACAAGGCTGTAATGCGCTCGGGGAGAAGATGACAGCTGTTGCTGCAATTATTCGTAAATGGTAGAAATGTAAAACGACCGTCAGTTGTCCTCAGGAGCTCTATGTGAGGTCTTGCCTCATTGGGTCAGGATGATTATGAGAAAAGTGGTGGATCAGCCCAAAACTACAGGAGCAGCTTGTTAATGCTCTGAAAGCAGTTTGGACCACAGACACCAAGAGCACCACTGATAACACTCTCTGCCATAATGGAGTGAAATGGATGTTTGTCAGAGAACGTAAATGATTCAGAGAAGGGTTGGAGAAAGTGCTGTGGTCGGGTGAAACCAAGGCTGAGCTCTTTGGAATCGGCTGCATCCGCCGTGTTGGAGGAAGAGAAATGCTGAGTACGACCTTTCCCTCTCCTCTCCTTCCCTCAGCCACAACACTGAGGATGGGTTGTTGGTGGGTCTTCCAGCATGACAATGACTCAAAACACACCACCAAGGCAACACAGGAGTTAACGGCATGGAGTGGGCTAACACGAGCCCACTCTAAAGTCTCATCTGACAATGATCAGCTGATGCCCGGGGGACTGTGACATTACTGTTTTGCTTCTTAAAGCAGAATGCTCGATTTATCAGCAGCAGACGAAACTGTTAGCTGCAGCATTATGTTGTGGGTGGAGATGGCGGAGGTCAGTGACCTCGTCCGCTGCATGTTTCCGTAACAGGCAGCAGAAAATGTTTCACTTCCTGGTGAGAGAATAGAAAGAGCTGCTGAAGAATGGAGGGAAGAGGAGAGGTTTAGTCTGAGCCGAAGAAGAGAAGCAAAGAGGAAATCAGCTGACTCATTTTCTGCCTTTGCTCACATTAAATTCAGTTCTCTACTTCCTACATCAGCGGATTCATAAGAGGAGAGATTGAGAAAGACGGCACACGGAGGCATCGCTTTGATGGTTGATCATGTTGTAAGCACAGCCACAGCTCCAGCGCTAACATCCCAAAATAAGAAAAGTTGACACCTTTATAAACAGTTAATGTGCCGATGTGTTGCCTTTACATGGCAACGAAACAAAACACAGCATACACCAAAACCACAACAGGAAGAACTGATGAGTTACAACCTAATAACAGACTCTTCTAGTGTGCCACGATAAAAGAATGTAACACTCTAATGATCAGGCCCGTTGTGACCAGCGATGATACTCAGCGCAGAGAATAAACGTGAGCCGTGTGAGTCTTTACAAAGTGTTGAAACCTGCCCGTGTTCTTCTTCTCTAAAAGGAAACAGAGTAGTGTTTCATTTTTCTGTTTTTGGGGGGAGGGTGGGAGCTTTATTTTGGCGGGTCTGTGCTGCTCTCTTGAATGTTTGGCTCCTCGGTCGTGCTCCTCCTGTTGGTGGCTTTGTGCCACTCTTTGCTGGATTTCTTTGTATTTTATTGGTGGGGGTTTTTTGTTGCTCTTTGGTTGTCTTTTGACACAATGAAGTCATTGAGAATGTGAATGTGATGAAAGTTCACTTCTAGCAGGGCTCAATCCTATCAGTCCAAGACAAAGTTAGTAATTTAACAGTGGGGGAAATAAAAATATTACCTGCTCTCTGCTTAAATCAGCACATCCTTCAAACATGAGACACTTAACCATAGAACGGGTCCATAAGAGCCAGGATGGTTTCATCAGTCATTCACTTCTTGTGTCATTAGTTGTAAGATCAATGAATGAATGAATGAAATCAGTTGCAGCTGATGGTGAAGTGGCCTGAGGAGGGAGGGGTTTGGTTAGAGCTGTAGCCCAGGGATTTGAACCAGCAGCCCAAACAGCTGTGAGCAGGAGGAACCCGAGCTGTCAGGGCTTCACATCCGCAGCTTCTTGGAAGCATTTCTTCTGCTCAGGCAGGAAGAAGTGCTTTTAAAAATATCTTCGACTTCCTCTTTGACCAGGCAGGCACAAACCCAGTCAGCTGACAGATTTAAGACGCAGAAGAGAAACAAACGCACCTCAGCGTTTGTTTTAACCACATGGCCCTGCTAGCAGGGCTTCCTCTGCATCAGACCGCAGTTTTTAAAAGCATAAAACTCCTGCACTCACTGACAGCCGCTTTTATCGTAACTGTTCATTATTCCATCAGTCCTGCTTTTCTGAGTCTGTCGTTGGGCAGAGAATAAGACGGAGTGAGCCTGAGCGCTCTCTGCGTCTGCTCGTGATCGTTGCTATGACGCTTTGGCGTCTCTGGAGCTGTAAATATGTTTGTGTCCGGAGCTCGAAGCTGACCGTTGTTTCTCTTTCAGGAATCGACTTCAAAATCCGAACGATCGAGTTGGATGGAAAGAAAATCAAACTGCAGATCTGGTGAGTGCCACTCTCTGCTCCAGCGTCCGTGTGTGAGCTTTGAGAGGAGATAAACCTGAAATCAGGTGTTTCACACTCGAGGCTGTTTTGTTGTGTGGATATTTTTAATGAGCCTCTCAGTGCGGGTGTGTAACAGTGGCTTCTTCCTGCAGGGACACAGCAGGTCAGGAGAGGTTCAGGACCATCACAACGGCCTATTATAGAGGAGCCATGGTAAGACACACCCCCTTCCTGTTACCCCTCTGCTGATGCACAGGTAACGTGTCGGTCACCAGTGAAACAAGCAAGAAAACCTTTATTTATACAGCAAAATTTATTCCAGCTGAAGCACAAACAAACAAAAGGCAATGATAACAGGAAAAGACACATTCAAGCTAATCCATAAAGAAATAGAAACCAACAATAGATGAGTAAAACAATAAAAACATGACACCAATAGAAATAAAATGGAAAAACTTGTGAAGCTCAGCATTAGTCCAAATTAAAACCTAAAGTTTAAAAAAACATTAGAAAAGAAATAACATGATAACTGAGACCACGACTCAATTATCTACTTTAGTTGGATTTAAACTCTGATGTGGGAGCACACCTGTACACCTGATTTGCTTCAGTGCCAGGTGATTGGTTGAGACCAGCCACAACCAGGAGGCCTGAGCTGGTTCACATCATGCAGGGCCTTGTTAACACAAGCTGGTCCTGACCTCAGGAATCAGCTTGCACTTCCTGTGCTGATGTCATTTCCTGTCTTGTGTTCATTAGGGCATCATGCTGGTGTATGACATCACCAACGAGAAGTCCTTCGACAACATCAAGAACTGGATTCGCAATATCGAGGAGGTAGGCCACACCCCTTTGATGTCACGTGATTTTTGTTATTTTCAGAGCTCACATTGTTCAGTTGGATTTGAAGAGGTCTTCAGGTGAACTCCACACCTGCTCCCGAAGAAATGCTTGTATGACGTCACCACAGAGTCATGTGATCTGTTATATAATGAGACAGATGCTCTCCATCAGATCCGGCTGAGCTTGAGCTGTTTTTGCAACAAAGAATGGGGGAAAATTTCAGTCTCTAGATGCACACCCCAAAAGACTTGCAGCTGTGATTGCAGCGAAAGATGGCTCTACAAAGTAAGGACTCAGGGGAGCTGAATACAGATGCCACACTTTTCAGATTTTTATTTGCTTAAAATTTTGAAAACCATGTTATTTTTGTACCACTTCACAATTATGTGCTGCTTTGTGTTGGTTTATCATAGAAAATCTCACCACGTTTGTGGATGTAAGATGACAAAAGAGTATGAATACTTTTTCAAGGCACTGCATAAAGGTTAGGGTGTAATTATATGGAAGCCCGTTTCCGCCACTAAATAAAAACAAAACGGCTAGTATCCATAACTCGAAATTTCGAGTTATCTTCTCAAAATTTCGACTTACTTTTCTCGAAATTTCGAGTTAATAAGTCGAAATTTAGTAAGTAGTTTAGTAAGTACGCCATCCTTTAAGATGGTTGGAAGATGTGACATCCTCATGACTCATTTCTGGACATCAGACCTGCTGAGCTCTTGTTCCTTATGATGTGTGACAGAAGATAAGATTGGTGTTAGTACCGTTACTCGCGCTCACTCTGCAGGGTGACGGAATACGACTGTGTGCGTTCACTTTCACATTACACATCAATTCCAGCTGTAATCAATACTCAGTAATCAGATATTGAGATCCGTGATGAACAGCTGCAGTTATCTCCTGTTTGAGAGGCTGTGGTGTAGGCCCTCCTCACAAACACAGCACACAGAAATGCTCTAAATCCATCAGTTTGCTTTGAGTGTATGTGGTAGAAATGTGCAAACCTGACACGTGTTCAATTTCCATCACTTATCGAGGTCTTTGTGGCAGAGATGCCAAGACCTCCGTCTCCCCGGTCGCCTCCTGCAGCTCTTCTGGGGGGACACCGAGGCGTCTCAAACAGCAGAGAGATGTGATCTGTTTTCTATCCAGCGAATTCTTCTCAGAAAAACAAGAATTCACATTTCTGAGATCACTTTTTTTTTTTGTTCAAGGATGCAACTAAATAACTTTAATTTATAAATAAAAATTTATTTTCTTGTAAAGCAGTACATTTGAAAATTGAAGGATAACAACAATAATAATTATACTTTAGCGTTAAAAACATGGTGGATTAATCCGTGTGTGTGTGTGTGTGTGTTTTGTGTGTGTGTGTGTTGTGTGTGTGTGTGTGTGTGTTGTGTTGTGTGTGTGTGGTTTCGTGTGTGTGTGTGTGTGTGTGTGTGTGTTTTCAGCACGCCTCTGCGGACGTGGAGAAAATGGTTCTGGGAAACAAGTGCGACATGAACGACAAGAGACAAGTGTCCAAGGAGAGAGGAGAGAAGGTCTGAGCAGATCCCTGCAGAGAGCAGGACTCATTCGATCAAACTGAGTGAAAGCAGGAAACCTCCAGGAGATGATATCATCTTATTATGCATTTAGGAGCAGACCAGATTTTTACTCTTTGCTTTGCTTCAGGGATTCATTTGCTGACAGTTAGAAACGCTGCACACACTGATTTCAGCCTTAATGAGAGAAAACGCTTCTGAACTTATGCTTTAAATGTCACTTCAACCATTTCTTCTACCTGGGTGTAATCCCTTTCTCTTTGGTTTTCCAGCTCGCCATCGACTACGGGATCAAGTTCCTGGAAACAAGCGCCAAGTCCAATATCAACGTGGAGGAGGTGAGTCCTGATCCCGATCCGCCGTCTCCTCCGTCAGTCCCGCGCACACGAGGCGACTCATTTCTGTCCCGTTTCCCTTCACAGGGCTTCTACACGCTCGCCCGAGACATCATGGCCAGGCTCAACAGGAAAATGGTGAGTTGAGCAGATTGAGGTCTGCGGAGGCGGCGCTCCGACTCGAGCAGCTGGCTCCAGATATGTAAATGACTTTATCAGCTGAACATGCGGGGATGAACGTGCCGCTAAAATTAAAGACTGAGTTGGTCACCGTGAGCAGGAGATTCTGTTAATCGCCATAATCAGCCCCGCTCTGCTCTTATAACTGATGTGACCTTTGACCTCCTTTCTTCCTGCAGAACGACAACAACCCGTCAGGTGGAGGTGGGCCCATCAAGATCACGGAGCCCCGCTCCAAGAAGAGCCTGTTCAGGTGTTCGCTGCTGTAGGCGGAGCCTCAGCTCAGACCTCCTCCTCCTGCAGCAGGAGCTGAGGAACAACCTGTGGACAGTTTAGAAGCCTGCTGTGACTCCTCCTCCTTTTCTTCTTCTTCTTCTGTTTTCTTGTTGTCTGCTGTCAGCTCAGCAGTTGGAGGCTGAGCCAACGCAGCATCTCAGTGTTTGTTGCAGCGAGAACACGGAGGCGACGATGATGATGATGATGGCGATGAAGGACAAGGCCGATGACTGTTTGTACCAAAGTGGGTAGAGCTGTGGCTCCGCCCTCTCCTCTGATTTTACGCATTGAGGATGAAGCATTTAAGGATCAGACATGTAGCAGACTCTTGCAGAGGCTTCAGTCCGACTCTTACAGCAACTGACCAATCACAGACCAGCGGCCTGGACTACGAAGCAGGTAACCAAGGATACGAGGTGCGATTAAAGAGTTCAGCCAGGCGGTAACATTCAGTCCTGAGTCAGTGGGAGTCTAAGAGGTCAGGCGTGGACATCAGCAGCTCCACAATCACCCGCGATGACGGCTGGATCTCGCTCGGGTCTCTGTTCTGTCGGCATCTACAAATCCATCCGTCAGGCTCTCGCTTCCTGCCTCCCTCACTCATGAACACACTTCTCCGATGGAGCAGCAACTCATTCCCAAAGAGTCTTCGACCAAATTCAAATCAGAATCAATGTTTTCCATTTTTTAATTTTTATTTTTTTTTTAATAAACACCGTAACTGAACTTTCCGATCGCACCTCGTATGTCTCATCTTGATCTAATAGTGAAAAGTGGGAACACGGTGGTTGTGAAGCCAAACCAGGTTTTCTGAATCTCTGTGCACAGGTTTACAGCCTCGCGCACCGCCGTCACAAACCCCAAAACCTGGTTAAACCTGAGGTCTCTAAGCCCAGGTCCTGCTTCGTGGTTCAGGCCTGTGCCAGATCGCTTCAGCTAATCTCCTGCACGCCGCCTAAAAATGAGCTGAACTACAGGAACTTACCTGATGTTGGTTATCAGAGGCAAACTGTGCAGGACCTTTGAAAATGTCCTGAAATGTGCAGCTTTGTATTTTAGGAAACTTTGCAGGAAATCAGCTGAAAAAATTTAAATAAATATATATAAAAAATATAAATATATATAAAAATGTATAAAATCATTTTCATTTCAATCTTGAATTTCCAACTCAAACATAGGAAGTAAAAGCCCAGTAAGATCGGCGGGCTTCGAACAGACAAGTGGAAATCATAAAAATATTATCGTTTTAAATTTTGTGTTCACTAAAATGTCTTAACCTTCATGTGACCTCCAGCCTTCATTTCCTTTCAGAGTTTATTTTAACTAAACAGAACTAATAGTTTTATATTTTATCTTTTTTTTTAATGCATCGTTAGTTAATTCTGTTCCTTTAAAACGTCTCTGTGATAAATATGTATGAAAGCAGAGAAAGTCCCTGCGAAGCAGCTTTTTCTTCTCTGTTCAAAGACGCGAAGAAGCTTCTGTTTTTACTTTTGATGCTTTTCTGTGTTTTTGTATTTAGTCGTTTAATAGCACACGTGCTGCTTTTATTTTGTGCGTTTTCAAAGGAACTGTACAACCTGCGCTTTTATTTTGAAGTGTTTTATTTTCATGTGCAGCTGCTGGTGTTAGATTTCCTCTTTCTGACTCCCGATCGGTTCATTGGCTGAAACTATATATTTATTATCGTAAAAGATGTGATTGACAACAACGATTGATTAAATTCGATGAGCACGGCGTGGAAACGTAAAGTCAAACTTTTAGTTTCCGCGGAAGGAGCTTGAGCTCTTAAACCTTTGCAGCCGATATTCTGCGATAACTTTGACCGTCACGACTATCCCAAAACACCCCAAACAACGGCGGGAAGCAAGATGGAAACACGGGATATAAACTGAAGCTACTTTCAGCTTTTTGGAAAGTCCTCGAATTCATATAATCCCTCCTGACTGTTTCCGTGAAGGCAGAGTGAAAACGGAGAGATTTTGTGACGTCTGTCCCGAGCTCGCCAAAAACGAGTGAGGCGCGTTGCCGTTGGTCGTTTTTGTCTGGCTTTAGATGGGTTTCTAGTTTTACAAATATCGTGAAGTATATCAGAAGCAGTGTGTTTTTTATATATTCAAGTACTTCATAAAGACCCTACAATAACAGAAAGCGCCCGTGTGCAAGTGGTGACAGTGGGAAGGAAAAACATCTTTTTAACAGGAAGTACCCTCCAGCAGAACCAGGCTCAGAAAAGACAGCCACCGGTGCCGGTTTAAGTGATTAAATATCACATTTTTGTCTGAAATTCGTCTGTACTCGTTTTTACTGGAGCCTGGTGAGATGCAAGGTGGTATCAGCAAACTTGGCTTACCCCCCTGAGCACTTCCTGCTCAGCTCAAAGCCTGCAGCATCTGTTCCTCCAGTTCCTTCGGAGGAAAAATACTTTCAGTGATTTAGCTTCTGGAAAATTCCTAAAAATTGAATTTGGGCTTGATCCCGAGTTCAGCGGGAACAGACGCTCAGCAGCTGCAGATGAAGCCCGTGTGCACGTTTGTTTACAGCAGCAGTGCTTTTATTTTACTCCGCTCGGCTTCCTGTCACAGCCACAGACTGTAAATAAAGATGGATGACATGCCGCCTCTTCCTCAGAGTATCCGCCATTCTGGTTTAATGCGGAATAATTCTGACCTCAATCAGAGAAGCTGCCAATCACGGCCACAGACATCAGTTTAAAGCACGCAATCAAAAAACAGTAAGAATGTACTTGGAGGGGGCGGGGTTTGTGACCTGTGTACCACGTTTCCTCACTTCCTGTCATCCAGCTTTATGTCCAGTCCGAACGTCTTAAAGATTAATGAAGAGCTGAAGGAGGCGTGCTCGACGTGTTTTTGTACTTTTCAGCACTTTGTAATTCGCTATGCAAAAACCACTTTTTCCTTTTATCAGGAGTTTGTGTTACTGTGCTCTGATTGGTCACACAGGTCGTCAGACGCATCGATGTGTTTGTCAGAGGTCATACTTTTACTAGGAAACTAGTTTATTTTAAATGTGACTTTCAGATTAAAAGCCTTGTCACTTCAGCACATGGAAAGACGGGTGTTTAATAAAGTTTTATATTTGGGACTTTGGTGTCGGCTGGGATTGAAAGTTACTGATGAGGGTGAAACAGATGAAGGCTCTGAGGAGGAGCTGGATGTTTTCTTTTTTTAATCTGAATCAAAGAAAAGGGCTGCAGACCAGAGGCTCTTAATGTGAAATTCACAAGACTGATTCAGTAGGTTTCGGTGACCTCTGACCCCATCAGTGTCTTCCGTTTGCTTTGAGATGGTTGGAGTGTCGCTGCTTCAGCTGATGAACAATAAACAACTTTTTCTACCATCTGGTTTGTTTTTCATCTTTAATCGCTCAGCTGCTGCAGCGAGGAGAGGATGCCTCGGGCTCACTGAGGTGATCTGGGCTGAGGCTGAAATGATTTCTCCTACAGCTGTTTGAAACACTCGCCTGACCTCAACGTGTGCAGGAGATGTTGGGTTGTGTGATGATGAAACTTTGATGCTTATTTAAAATTAGTTTTTAGTAATTTACTTGTACAGGTGGTAAATGAGATCCTATAGGTGTAACTCTGCATGTCACAGTACGATCAGAAGAGGTGCTGTATGATTTAAGTTCACTGGAAAAACAAGTCGACGTAACAGTAATGACGTGAAAAACTGAGGCTGTTGTCTCTGTATTATTCCGTAAAAGTGTGTAAGAGTGTGTTTGGCTCCAGGTCAGCTGATCTCAGAGAGAACACAGAACAGGAAGCATGTGAACAAACTCAGTTTATTATTCAAGTAAAAAGTGACAGCAGACGCTCAGCTGAGGGTTTATTTACACACATGTACAGACACAAACCTGCCATCCTCACAGCACGCCGGCCCGCCCGCAGACTGACCCTGGGTCAGCATGACAAACGGACGCGGCGGCGAGGAGACGAACTCAAACTGTCCTTATTTACAACACAAATGAAAGCAGCTGTCTGACGTCCGGGTCAAACAGGAGGAAACGCAGAACTGCAGCAGGAAGCAGACGAACCTGCGCGCACACACAGACTGATTTAAGGTATGTATGGAGGTCTCGCGCATCACCTCAGAGACATGAGACTGGGGTCATCAGACCAAACAGAGACCAGTCGGTGACCTCCAGCAGCCGCTGGAATCGTGTTTTACTCGTTTATATTTTTACCTGGTGATCAGTGTTTTCTTGGGGGCGGGGCTTAGATTAATGCAGATTACTTAAAGGCGACCATCCTGAGCTCACAGAGTCTCTGATCTGTTGCGAACTCATTGTTATAGCTTTTGCTTCATGTGTCAGCCTTTACGTCTGCCTGCCTGTCTTTAGAAAGACTCGCATGGTTAACGTTATCATTAACAGTTTGCTCGGGTTGTATGCCTTTTTCTTCCCTTTTTGATTTATATTCTCATACTTTGCTTTCCCGCTTATTTTCTGCAATAACCCAAAAAGCCGTCAGGGTTTGCCCATTTCCAGTTTTCCCCCCAAACACAATCCCTCTGTGAGGACCTGCAGACTTACAGGAACGTCATTCAGGCGAGCTGATCACACGATGGTTGCCGGGCTGATGACTGCAGCTGCTTTCTGAGGACAGACGGAGAACACCATCAACCAAACATTTATAAACTCAGAGAAATTCCCAGAGAATCACCGAGCCGCTCGGAGAGATGACAAACATATTTAAAAATGCTCTAACTCCGCCTCCTTCATGGCGCTGTCTGCACTCACAGCTGAAATGTACGGGCTGTTGAGGTGCAGTTTGCTGGGGGAAGAGGGGGAGGGCTCCTCGGGCAGCGCTTCCTGGAGGTGGGAGGACACGCAGCCGCTGTCGGAGCCAGTAGAGCCGGAGAGGCAGCGAGACGACGAACCTGAACTCTCAGTGGCTGAAGACAGAAAAAAGAAAAAGAAACTGCAGTCAGGCGTTAAAGTGAAGATGCTGGAGGATTGGGACGAAGATTACTCAAACCTAATCTGAGACTCATGAGTTTAGGTGTGTGCTGACGTACTCATGGAGGGCTGGCTGCTGGTCTCGTGCTCCTGCTCGTCCTCCTCGATGCACGAAGCGCTGAAGGAGCTCTGAGCGGTGGGAGGAGGGGGGATGCTCTGACTGCAGGAGGGAGGAGGATGTTATAAAACCAGCACAAGAACCTTTGACCTTTGACAGCAGGACAGGTAAGTCTCACCTGTACATGTGCAGATTGAGCGGTCCCAGCAGGCTGGCTGAAGACGGGCCTAATGCTGCAGGGTCAGAGGTCACCGTTCCCCTTTTAAAAGGATTCGAATGGTCGAAGACGGAGACGGCGATGGACGCCCGCGTTCTGGCACCTGAAGGACCCAATCACCGTTTTACTTTTTGATCATCAGTAACTAACGAGCTGATTGGTGAATTCTAGTGAAAGTAAAGTCTGAGCGGCACCTCTGCTCTTCATCATGTAGTGAACGGCTCGGTCGCTGATGGCCGCGTCGCTCGGCTGGATGTCCAGGAACGGTTTGTTGCCCACGCCCATCGACACCATCTCCTTCAAACGCATCTCTGCTGGCAGAAAGACAAACGGGTGAGTTGATCTCCGACGCTCTCCGCTCTCCTGAACGCTCCGCCATCCGCACCTTTGTTCCTCGTGGCCTGGGTCCACAGGATTCGGGCGATGTCGTTTGTCCAGGCGTGTTTTGCGTCCGTCGTTGTCGCCTGAAGGATGAAGGTCTGATTCTTGGATGTCCTCCTCCTGAACCAGATCTCAAACTTCAGCCCGCTGTCCCCCGTCGACTCTGTCAGACCAACGTCCGCCGTCTGCAGCACAAGCACACGTTTTCTGCTCAGAAAGTTCCTCGCCTCACAGTTGGCGTGGGCTCGCCTGCTCTTGGAGAGCTTACCTTGAAGGAGTGTTTGTAGATGAAGACGTCCAGCCCTCCCTCCATCTTCTTAGGTTTACTGAAGAGGACGAGCTCCTCGAACAGGAAGATGCGACGCTGACATTTCCTCCTCCCGCTCCAGACAGTGAACTCGTCCTGCCGGATCAGCTGACCCTGCTCCTTCAGGTTCACCTGCAGGCAGAAGAAGAAGAAAGATGTTGAAGAAGAAGAGCGGATTGGGTTTAATTCCTAAGAATAGCCGATTTAATTAAGTTTATAAGGTCCATCGAAACTTAATTTAAGACGTTGTAGACTTGGGCACGAATGATGACGCTAAAACAGGATTATAAGAAAGTAAAAGACCGTAAAAGCAGCTCTGCTGAGGCTCATGGGACACAGCCCTTAGTTTGGTAATCTGAACACAAAGGAATGGCTGGTCAGGCTTTTTGGAGGCTACCTCCAGCCTCACAGGGAGCTGCAGTCTGCTGGAGGAAGCCTCTGATCTGGCTTCTGGAGTATTTCACAGCATATATGGAAAATAGTTTCTGATACTGTTACGCTGTTCAACTTAAAAGAGCGTTTAACGACACGGTCCAATTTAAACGTCTCACCTTGAGCTCAGTCTTTATCATGAAACCCACAAACACAAACCTCCCATCTTACTGTGGTAATCATGTCCATCAAGGCGGTCGTGTGATTGGTTTTTAGTTGGACTACTAAAAAAGTTTTTCAGGATTTTGGATCCAGAAATTTTTAGGAGACCATAATCAAGGATTTTGGACCAAGTGATCAGTTCCAGAAGTTCTGCTCCTTGAATTTGATTCATGTGTGATGTGGAGGGGACTTTCACCTCAGATCAATATTTCTGGTGAGTCTAGAACACGAGTTTCACCTGAGCTCAGATCAGGCTACACTTACGTCACAGTCTCGAATGGCGTCCATGGCCAACAGGTCGTTTCCATGGCGAAGCTGGAACTTGACCATATTGGTGGCAGACTGCAGTGCCGTAAGCTCCGCCTCCTGTGCCACGCCCACCTCCTTCATGAGGTCAGTGAGGAGCAGCGCGTATTTGCTCATCCTCTGAACGGGCTTCAGCAGGTAGGAGGACAGGTCCATCTTATCGCCCAGCTCCAGCTGCTTCCTCTGCAGGAAGGAGGGGGGCAGGGGTTAGTGTGAGTACAAATATGAGGTCACATAAAGGTCAGAGGTCAGAGGTGGTGGTTGTAGTTCTCACTCTGAAGAAGGAGTGTCCGTGATTCGCCAGAAGAGCGTCAGACTTGGGTTTGTTCTTGCTGTAAAGAGCGTACAGACCGAACTGCTCCTGCTGTTCAACACAAACAACAAACACATTCACACAGAGTACGTGTACGTGTGTGTGTGTGTGTGTGTGTGTGTGTGTGTGTGTGTGTGTGTGTGTGTGTGTGTGTGTGTGTGTGTGTGTGTGTGTGTGTGTGTCCGTCCTACGTGTCTGAGGAAGCAGTGCGGCACTCTGAGCGGGTGCTTCGAGCAGGCCTCCAGCTCCTTCAGGAAAAACTGGCTGTGGAAGTCGAGGAGTTTCTCCAGGTTGCCGAAGACGACGGTGCGTTTCCCCCTGAGATCCTGCGGGAGGTCTGCTCGGTCCATCTCGGGGAAGTAGTGATGTATGATGTAACGCAGTGAGCGGACATACTCGCGCTCCGTGTTCACCATCTCCTCCACAATGTGACGCAGCTTGCTGCACACACACACACGCACACACACGTCAGCAGAGAAGTGTCAGTCTACAAATTCAGTCTGAGAAACCAGGATTACCCACCTGCTCCTGGGTCGGGGTTCTCCGGTGGGTGTGCTGGGTGTCCCGGGGCTATGTGGCCCCTGCCCTCCCCAGCTGTGAGAAGGCGTCCTGGGGCAGAGCGTGCGGTCTGCTGCCTCAGTGCTGCTGACCTCCAGACCACGAATGAACACACCCGTGTTTCCTCTGCGCACTGGCTCGCTGAGGGCGCGAGCAGACGGGCTGTAGCGCGACGTCTCCGGGGTGGCGGGGCAGTCGAAACTCTGAGTCTTCCTGAGCTGCTGTCGTCTGCAGGAGAAGGAAGAGGAGGAAGAGGAGATGGAGAAGGAAGACGATGATGGAGTGAAGCAGGGAGAAGAATCCAGGCGGTGGAGTCTGGGACTGCAGGAAGTGATATCCACACGGTCTGAGGACTCGTCTGAGGAGGAGCTGCGAAAAAGTCGCCGGAGGAGCGGCGTGTGCTGCGGGGTGGGAGGTGAGGCAGAGCCAGCAGGGGTGGAGGTAATGGAAAGAACCGAGGAGGCATTACAAGGGGGTGAGGAGGCCTTTGTTTTCTCCTCTGGCAGGCGGGAGGAGGATGAGGAGGTGTCACGGGCCCCCCAGAGTCCTGACAGAGACTTCCTGGAGGAGATGGAGCTCCTGCTGGTGGCAGAGTCAGAGCGGCGCCTGTGGGCGGAGTCACGCGTCTTCAGTGCTGCCTCCATCTTCCTGTCAAACATCTTCTTGGTCTCTTGACACTTGGACCAAGCGAAGCTCCACTGACGAAGGCCTCGCTCGCCCCGCAGTTCACCCGCAGCCACCTTCATTTCCTGAAAACAGGCGTCTGGGATTGGTGGGTGCAGACGCTGGTAGTCCTCCAGGCAGCCAATCACAGCTTGGCATTTGTCTGGCAGTGTGCAGTCCTCCATACTGATCCCAGCTAGGTGACGCATACCCTGCAGCGCCCAGCCATAAGCCTGCAGAGAGAGAGGGGAGAGTCACATGGAGAGCCGATGGAAAGGCGCCATTCCACTTCCTGTTAAAATGACTGCAGTTTAGCTGAAGTACAGCAGGGGGCGCTCAGGAGAAAGTCAGACAGCATCAAAAATCTGTCAGAAATTAAATAAGACGACTAACTAAAAACAAAAAAACCCAAACAATCAGCAGTCACGCTGTAGTGCGTGCTCATTGGTTGGTTAAGGACAATAGAAAACACTCTCAGTGGCACCCTGTTCAAAATGATAACTAAACATCAGAACCAGAGCTAAAGCCCAGCAGGAACTTTGTGTCCAGCTGGTTGTGATGGATGAAGGAAACGCTCTCTGAGGCTGCTGCTCGCCCGACGCTTCAAATCAACATTTACAGACGCTGTGACACCCCAGCGCTCACAGAGGTGTTTTACTATAACATGAAAAACAATCTGAAACTCAAATATCATCGTTTAAAAAATTCAAAGAGCAGAAGATCTATTTTGTCCAGATGACATGACCTTTGACCCTAGACAGCAGCCCACTGAAGAAATGTTTTTTTCTTCATTTTAATAAATTCAAAAGCAAAAAGACTGAAAAAAGAAAAAGGCAGGAAGTGATGGGGTTACTTTAGCTGGTTATGATGGGAACATTTTAAGTTTCCCCAATCAAGTTGAACACCCACCTTTTCCCCGCCCACTTTTTTTTTTTTGCTAGGGTCACACACAAAGATGCCATGGTGCAGGTCCTCTTCTCACGTGGAGGAGGTCCTAAAGGGCCCGCACTAAAACAGCTGATATAACATGTAAACTTTTAAACCATCTCTCTGAGAAGACGTTTTCCTCGTTTGTTTTCAAAGTGATGATGTTTCCTGGTCCAAGCCGTTCCAGCTTTTCCTTTAAAGCGAGCAGAACTCGGACCCGACACTGAAACGTTCAGGGCGTCTCCGTTTTTTTCTGTCTGTTCGGACAAACAACACGAACAGACCGACAATGACGTCACTCTGCAAGTGTGTAGTCAGAGAGCTTTGAAGTGTGAGCTCGTGTTTGTGTGCGCACCACGAAGGAGTCGACCGCCAATCTCCTTTTTGTTGAAGGCTGGAGGGGGAGGAGTGTGCGTGCGTGCGTGCGTGCGTGTTAAATTAAAGACCAGAGGCCTCCTGCTTCTCCACTGAAGAATGACTGAATGAGTCTTTACCTTCCTGACATGCAGCTAACATTACTTCACCCCTAAAACAGCAGGAGACACACACGCACACAAGGTCATGTGCATGTCAGTTCGGAGCAGGTTATTCCAAACTTTTCAAGGCCTGGAGGGGGAAAGTTCAGCAGCACTGACAGCTGGTTGGGTTTGGGCAGGGTGTGGTCACCAGAGGGCGCTGGAAGCACAGCAGGGTGAGGGTTCACTGTGAGGGTACAGACACCCTCTTCAGTGCCTGCTGAAAGAAAACAACCCACCAGCATCGCAGAACACTGAGGAGCAGCTCTGACACTTCAGTCTCGGTTGATTTGGTGACAGCGGCGATGGTTTGAGTCTAAACGTGCAAAGCACAGAGGTTTGTGGCACAACAATCAGCAGAATCATCTGCTGCACCCCTGCCTGAGAAGGTGGAGGTGTGCTCCAACATCTATCTCTACCTACACCAACTCTTCAATCAGTCTTCCCAGAAAGGCTCAAAGAGGAGAAAGTGGTCCAAAAACAGACGGATGTGTCAGTTAATATTTCATTAGATAGGGTCTAATAATAATCCATTCAGACGTCTTCATGAGGTCGACGTAAACAACCAAGGCGGTGACACAGATATGATCCGACAGGACGTGCTAACAATGAAACCATATGGACATCGATGTGGCAGGAGGCTACCGGGTCAGCGCTCTTCAGACCGATTAGCTGCTGATGTGTCCTGATCGCTGCAGCCGCTCACTTCCCACATGCACAAAGGTGTGTGTGAGAGAGAGGATCGTCACAGCAGTCCTTTATTGTAACTGTACTCTTTATCTTCGATTCTACAACACAACAACTGTGGGTACATTTTAGTTGTCAGCCAGGTTTAATCATTTTATTAAGATCTGATTGGACCACTTTAAATGAAGATGACTTGGGGTGTTTTCAGAGGTCCATTTTATAATGAATAGTTTACCTGCAGAGACTGTGGCAGACAGTGGTTGGACTGTGGAAATGACCAATGTAGATCTCAATATTCTGACCGGCCGTTAGCAGTGATTGTCTGGGACGGTTAGCATTAGCTGCCAGGTTAAAGACTGGAGAATTTAATGGTTGGAAACTTGAACACGCGCAGCTTCTTTGGACCAAGTTGAGGGCTGCTGTGCATGTACCATTATTACCAAAGGCTGACCCTCCCTCTACTGGAGGTCTCTTCCTGTTAAAAGAGTGTTCTTCTTCCCCATCATCACCAAGTACTGCTCACAGAGCCCAGTGATCACATGAGCCTCTCTAATATTTAGGATCTTTACACTTCAATATAAAGGTCCTTCAGATAAGTGTTGTAAACTGTTCATATAATAATATGAGGAACAGATTGTTCCTTGGTTTTCTTCTACTTTCATTATTTTAGCATCGTTCACATCGATTTATAAAGTAAGGCTGAAGAAATGTACTGCTTTCCAAGTAAGGAAGCTTTGGATCCAGTGTTACTGGACCATTTCCACTTCACAAACCTGACAACATTTGCTTTTAATCTATTTTCAGGCCTCCGACAATCAATGATCAGAACAGATGCCGATTACGTTTCCGTCGATCAATAAATTGATTATTCGGCCGATTGTTTCAGCTCGCCTCTGGATGTTTCCAAACAAGAGAGGGAGTGAAAACGTGGGGCAGAGAAGAGGAGGACTCTAATTAAAATAACATGTGGTTGTTATGGTGCTGCAGAGGGGGGAGGCAGGAGGGGGAGGAGGGATAAACAGGAGCACACGGGCTGTGGTTCTGGGGACAGTGGCCCTGCAGGACTCCAGGCCTGGAGCCAGTCAACCAAAGAGGAGGAGGGGAAACAGAGGGAGGGCGGAGGAGGCCAAAACCCTCCAAACCATATAAAAGGAGGGGGTAGGGCTCCTTTCCTCCTCCTTCAGGGGAGTAGTGGTGAACCTACTTCAAACGGTTCTGCGGTTCCTGGAGGAGAGCGTTTTGTCTTCAAACTCTTGTTGATGTGAAAGAAGTCTTTTGTTTCACTTTGTTTCTTCACTCTTTGCTCCATTTCTACATTCTTTGCTTTTATTCTGAAGTCTTCATATAAAAGGAAGAAATGTCAAACAAGGCAGAATCCTCCAATACCAGTGTTTTTATGCCCCGACGTCAGAAACAGCTGTGCCCAGAGCTGTCGTGTTTTCAGGTGTCCATTTGTCCCATGGAGGGTAAGATTTTCATGGTCAAAGGTCACTGTGAGCTCACAATATTCAAGAATTCAGACACTACCTGACAAACTGTCACACATCGTTTTCGGTGCAAAACGGAAAACTTAAAAACATAAAACTGACAGATGCTGTATCCTGTCCAGATCAGAGGAAACTGATCTCCTTCCTTTCAATATAAAATCACTTATTATAAAAACACATCTACATGCTAGCATGTCATAGCTGACAGAAGGGAACTGCTGCCAGAACGCAGTCGGAGGAACTGATCCGAGGAGGTGTCGACGGTTTGGATCACAGCAGGTACTGACGAGGTTCAGAATGAACCCAATACTGTGTTCGAGTGGTGCGTATTAAATAAATAAGCTGACACATGACCAGATCCGGTGTATCGCCGTCCGAGAAGAAACTAGGCAACGTGGTGAAACTAGAGCTGGGCGATAGAACGATAACGATATGTATCGCGATATAACTTTTACTCGATAGAGAAATTAAGCTATCGCGATAGACCTCGCCGCTCTTGTCCTCAAAGAAAAAAAAAAAAAAAAAAAAAAAAAAAAAGGTCAGCCAATCCAAATTAAGTAGCGCAGAGCCGAACCAATCACAGCCGCAGCGTCACGTCGCGTGACTTGTAACGTACAGCACAAGTGCCAAGCCGCACGTGTGTTTGTTTGGGAAGCAGCCAGCGGGTAATGGAGGAAATGAGTGTGCCGACTAGAAAAATCAACCGAGCGTGACCGAAGAGAAAACAGATGATGGTTCCAACGCCAGAGAGATTGTCGAACAGAAGAGCCATAGAAGCTCCGTAGTGTGAAGGTATTTCGGCTATTTCAAGTCTGACAAAAAACAGAGTAGCGTGCACTGTAAATTGTGCCGAAAGCAAGTCTGGAAATACAATAAACTGGTGCATGCGTCACACTGTGCGCCACGTTATTGTTTCGGTGAAATGAATTTCTACAATACTGTTTCTGTTAATTCTACTCTCTGCAGTGTTTAAATGCTTACATATACACATAGTTACTGTCCGTCCACACATACGACTCGGTTCTGCTTCTATGCCCCAGCTTTGTTTACTTTTTCCCACCGAGGCTTCTAGACTTCTGATTGGCCAATATTTCTGCACGGTTAGGAATCTAGCGCCACCTGCTGCTTTGGCATGTTCATAGCAGCGTTTCCCTTCATTTCTGCCTTTATGTGTGGACGGGATTATTTTTTAAAACGAAAACGGAAAATCTCCGTTTTCAAAAATACCCGTGTACGTGTGGACGTAGCCTCAGTCTCTGACTGGAAGCGCTAATTCGTCATTCGGCTTTTGTCAGACTAAAGTAACTGTTAAAACTGTTTGAAAAGCTCAGCTATACAACAAGGAGAGATCGAGAATTTCCTTTTAGTTCTCAGTTTATTTGATATTGACAAAAGTTAGTTTTGTCTGTTCTTCTGTAAAACAAACTAAGATTTATTTTTAGAATTAATATTTTGTTTCTAAGTGGAATTGACAGTTTAGTCTGTTTCGTTTGTTCTATTTTGAAACTTAAACGCTTTAGCGGCTGCCTTTTGTGTAGTTTGCAATATTTGCCTTTATTTATCTGAAAAAGTCTCATGTTCCTTAAGTACATCTACCCTGTTGAACTTATTATGGGAAATAAATATTTAAATAAAAACAAGCTGCTGATTATTTCACATTTTACTTGTGAGCAACGGCACATTTAAATCTTACAAATATAGTTATTTGGCTGATATCGTGATAGATATCGTTATCGCCTGAAATGAAAAAAACATATCGTGATATGAAAAAATCTCATATCGCCCAGCTCTAGGTGAAACTATTCTGAAAGCGAGCCCACGTGGAGCTGCTAGCGCCTGGCCAAACCTCGCTGCTGTACTAAAAGCTGTTATTCTTAAAGATTCTTAAAGAAGTAACGGGTGAACTGGAAATGGATCAAAATTATAGAATTCATTATTTTTCCCCAATATCTAATCACGATTAAGTGATTTTACCAAAAATATTTAAAAATAAGTAAATACAAGAAAAAACAAATGTTTTCTCCAAATGCTGCTCATCCCCTCTGAAGAGAAAACTTGGTATGAATCAAACTGATTTTGGAGACTGAGCTCTGATAGCTGTGGTGGAGCAGCTGGTTTACTGACTGGAAGGTTAAAGTTTCTTTACTGGCTCCTTGAAATGAAATGACAGCGTGTGCAGGTACAGCAGAATGAACCTGTAGCCTGAGATTGCTCCCTTTATCGTCCACCTATGAGCACAGAGCGCTCTGCCAGCTGTTGGAGTTTTTTCTTGCCACTCAGCTGTGAACAATGTGGACACGACAAAGCGGAAAAGGGAATGATGCTGCCGCTGTGACTGCTGTGAAATGGAGCAGACAGCCAGTTTTGTATTTGCTGATACCCATTTCCTTTCCTTTCCTGCAGACTCTAGCTGGAGTCTCCGTCCCCAAAACACATGACAAGCAAAATTACCTCCGACACACCATCATCGAAACAGACAGCAATCCTGTGTCGCTTTATATGCAAAAAACACGAGTCAGGGTGGGAATGTCACTGAGCCGCAGCAACATGACAACATGCGTGATCTGGAAACGACACGATAACATCTGCAGCAGGTAAACTGGTAACACACACACACACGCAGAAAGAGAGGGAGAGCGAACAACAAGCAGCGAGAGCAGCTTCAAAGATCTCTCTGCAGTCAAAGTGACGCCAAGTTAACATCAAACGGCTGAAAAGCTGCCACACACACACACACCACACACCCACACACACACACACACACCTCACACACACACACGCTGATAAAACTTCTCCAAAGCAAACCTCAGCTGTGTGTGTTTTTAAAAAAAATAACAACAAAAAACAGTAAGAAGTGTGTATCGTACCTCTGTGTGTTCAGCTGAAGCTCTGAAGCCTGAGTGAGGCGCGCAGAGAGCAGCATCCTGACCACACACACACACACAGTGACCCCCCCACACTTCATCAATGGGCTGAATGGCAGATGGGCGGTCCCAGGAGGAGAGGAGGGGGGCATCACCACGGCGACAAAGACTTTGTGGTGAAAGGAATGAAAGGGGGATGGAAAGAAAACTTGGCACCGGAGTGATACCTGGACTACACACACGCACACACGCACACACGCACACACACCATTCCTGTCTGTGTGTGTCAGGTCAGTAGTGCCTGCTTAGTGCATCAGAGAGGAAACTTCAGCACACTCTGTGGTTGGTGTTGTGCAGAATTTGGTGGCGTGATTAAAGCATCCGAACAAACTTCACTGGTGAAAGTTTAAACATCGGTCTGAAACACGTGCCTGCCGACCGGCCGAGCCCACCACTGAGTGAGAGGCGGCTCGGATCCCCACAGGCTGATGTTTTCACCCACAGAGCAGACACGTCAGGACAGGACAGGAAGTGAGGCTTGAAAAGACTTCCACACAATGAAAAATAATCTTCTTGTCATCGCAATTTCAATTTTTGTTTTCCCCAAATAGAAATCTTCTATGTCTATGTTGCATTTCAACAGAGAGGCTGTTTCTCTCCTTTGGTTTAGTTCAACAGTTAAACCAGTTCAGCAGCAAACCGAGCGAGTAAAAATGTGTCGGTCCGTCGTGTTCATTCACACGAGCTTATGAGCTATAGCAAAAACCATAATTACTTTGTTGGTAATTGTACGCTTGATTTCTGTACCAACTTATCATGAAGTGTCTTTTTACAGGGAATTTGGGATCATCCTTTCGAAAAACAAATGAAATGAAAGACAAAGGTCTACTAGGTCGTCAGAAGGGACTTTGGATGAGCGGCTGTTTTTTTGAAGAGGCAGCAGGAGGCCCAGCAGCTGCTGCACCTCGGGAGATGATATAGAAAATATAGTTTGTTGCAGGAATGTGGACCATGTAACTTCTTCGGGCTAAGTGTGACTGGGACCCAGTGTGTGTGTGTGTGTGTGTGTGTGTGTGTGTGTGTGTGTGTGTGTGTGGGTGGGTGGTGGGATCTGGACAGATCAACTGGATTCTTGATTTTTCAGTTGTCACAGGACTTGTTGCCGCCCCACGTGGAGGAGTTTAAGTATCTCAGGGTCTTGTTCACGAGTGAGAGACTGACAGACTAGATTGGGGTGGTGTCTGTAGCGATGTGGACGCTGTACCGATCTGTTGTGGAGAAGAGGGTAAAAGCAAAGCTGTCGATTTACCGGTCGATCTACGGCCCTGTCCTCATCCTACGCTGTGTACGTCCTAATATGACACGAGTCTGAATCTTTTCTGAAAGAAAACCGAAAGTGCGCCGGAGTTCACACCGTGTCGCTCTTGGTTATGATGTGAACAACGATCGAAGAAACTTTTGTGGTCGGTGCGTTTGTTTTTATAGGATGTCTGAGGGACAACTTCAACTGTTTCATGACTGAATTTCAAGAATCTGCACATTATAAAAGTATCAGCATGACATAAAAACACACAAACAAACCTACAAGACAGAGTTATGTGGACAAAGACCATCACCCCCCTCACACCCCCTTTACAAAGAGTCCAGTACACAAAGCAATATTGACACTCTCTCCCCCCTCTTCATCCTCCTGGCCTCAATACAAGCTGTCAGTTTCACTGCAGGGAGACGATATGAGGAGGAGGAGGAGAGACACGACAAACCAGCTGCTCCGATCCACATTCAGCTGTTTTACATGCAGCTAAAATTAGATTTCTGAAGATGGATTCGAAGCTGCTCAGACAGAGCTGACAGGCTTCTCAGATGGTTTAAACCGAGAGACAGTAAAACATGAAAAATCAGAGCACAGCTGGAGCTATAATCAGAAAGAGCAGCAAGTACTGTTCACAACACTGAAATTCACTTTAGCTAATCTCAGAAAGCACCAGATTAAATATAGATTTACACATTTAGATGACTGTGAGGCTCAAACTGCCATTAAAAACCGATCCGATGAGCCACAGCCTCAGTGACTGTACCTGATCTAAGAAGCTGTAGAGTCGGACGGCCCGCTCGATGTTCTGCCCGGTACTGCTGACCCGCTGAGTGAAATCCTGCAGCTGAGCCCAGAAGGAGTGAACTTTGTCCTCGTAAATGTGGAGGTCAGCGGACGGCACGTCGTCCCGGCGCTCCAGCCGAGACAGCAGCTCCTTGCCTCGTTTACACTGGTCCTGCACACAGAGGAAACAGACCTCATCCTCTGTGGGGACCAGTCCTCAGTATGGGCTAAAAGAAATGTTTGAACGAGTGTGTGTGTGTGTGTGTGTGTGTGTCGTACGTATGCCGTTGTGCAGAAGTCCTTGTAGTCCTGCTGTTTTTCATTCAGAAGCACCAGAGAGTCTGCCGGCTCTTCCAGAATCTTCAGACGAACTTCACCAACCTCCTGTAGCCACGTCTTCACCTGACACACACACACACACACACACACACACACACACACACACACACACACACACACACACAGTAAGGTAAACTTCACATTAACATGTGATGTGATCCAGAGGATCAAACCTCCCACCCTGCCAGGTGAGATGCGAGGCATGTCCTCGGCTCAGTTAAATCTAAAAGCTCTTTCTTAAAAAACCAAACAGAACTCCAGTCGACACTTTTTTTTATGGTTACGAAGTCAAAGAATGACAGAAAAACAAAAAATAAGGCTAAGAAAGGAAAAAGAGAACCAATCAATGCTGCAGCTCTTTCAGCTCGTCTATGCCTGAGGGCCAAATGTCTGACAGTTCATCCACACCCGCAAGCAGCAAATCACTCACATATGGATCTACTTTAACCTGAATTACCCATTTATGAAATCCATATATCATCTAATGTTTATTCATTTTCCTAATCATTCATTTGTGAGTGTGCTCAGGGAGGGAAGTGTTTCATCCTGTCAAAGCTTCAGAAGACAAACTTGTTCCAGTTTAACTCCAAACACATAATTGGTGTTTTTCTGTTGATGGTTATTGATCTGATATTAATCTGATGTTATCAGGTAATAATTCGATTGCTTACAGCTTAGAGCGCATATTTCCAAACATGCCTCGTTTCACAAAAAAGATGTAGTAAGTTAAAAGCTCCCTACATCTGACAACCACAACTCCACTTTAGTTTTTTCCTCCTACTGACAAGATACAAGACACCAGAGTTCAGGTTAAAAAAAAGAAAAACATCTGAAAATTATATTTTTTTAATGTATTTATTGTGCATTACTTCTTTTGGCCTACTTGCAGTACCTTCACAGCACACCAGGGGGCTGCTGTCCACACTTTGATCACTGGCTAAGAGCGTAACCAAGGAAACAAAGGAGGTGGGAGTGTCTCAGTGTCACTTAGAGTCACGGTTCATCATGAAGTCAACTCCTCACATTAAGACGACACTGATGTAAATGTCCGTATGAACGATGCATACTGAGCGTGCTCAGACTGACCTCGCTGAAACCTTGCTCCAGGTTCCTGAAGTCTGCGATGAAGTTCAGCTCCTGCGTTTTGGAGTTGGACAGCATCACCAGGCGGTGGAGCAGCTCGTCCACCTGCTCGTACAGAGTCGACACTGACTCCACCGCCGCCCGCTGGTCCACCGCCACGCCGACGCTGCTCTCCTCCCTGCGCAGCCACGCCAGCGAGGCGCCGCCCTCCTGCTGGAGCTGCACCAATCGGCTGTCTGCGAGGATGCTGCACATCACTGCCCTGTAGCGGGACAGCAGCAGCTCGGCATCCTGGCAAAGACAGAGAGGTTTGAGCTGGTGTCTGAACCTTTATGGGAGAACTGAGAGCAAAACCACAAACTGTTCAAGTGAATAAAAACACGCAGAGTGGATTTTAATACTTGTGAAGGGATCAACAGCCTCCTGTTGAAACTGTTCATGTTTTCAATGAGCCCAACTTTTAGACCTCATTTCCAGTTTTATATTAAACCCAATTTGTATAACATAAGAACAGGAAATGATAAACTTTACAAAAGTTTTGAAAAAGTTCTGGAATAGCACCGTGAATTTGGTCAGAGTGCCATTTGCCCAGAAAGGATTAGGAGCACGAGACAGTCTTTCAGTCATCCAATCAGATATCTTAAAAAGACGACTGTATCTCAAACTCCAAGCGGGGAGGATGGTTCAGAGTTCAACTGCCTGAGTTGTAGTCCTTAGCTCTCCTAAAGACTACAACCTCCCCCCGATTGTTCTTATATAACTAACAAATTTGTTGTTAATTGGACAGATTTAGGTTCCTAAAGTAAAAATACTGGCTACCCCTCAGCAGACACACCTATGGTATCAATTTGAAGCTCCTCTGCTGCCTCACTCTCACATGTACAAACTAAGGTGTCCACGCGCGCCCGGCTGGCGGGGTAATCACAGTACCCCGTCGGCCTTTTACAGGTGAGGAGTAGACACAGATCTAGCACTCTCTTTCCATGCCGTGTGTGTTTTTACCTCAGCAGTGCTCGGTAAAGGTGTGGATTGCAGCGCGTTGATGCTCTTCTGCAGCAGGCTGATGACGTCCTCACACTGACGGGTCAGCTGCTCCAGTCTCTGAGGGACAAACACACATTTTCATTGTGTGAATCGTTTCTAAAGCCGCACACTTAAACTCACTTATGAAAGAAGAAAAGAAGCTTTAAATAGTCAACTGGAAGGTGAATAAAACCTTCCACTCTACAATACAAACCTCATGTCATTAGCACCCCAGGAATGTGGGACAACCTGTCCAAATATTTTTTAATGAAGCATGCAACGTTTCAGCTGCAGAAAAGCAAAGAGGAGCTGTGGAAGTCCAGAATCAGACATGCCTCACCTGCACCAGCGAGCAGGGATTAACCTGTGCTGACTGATTTGGGTTTGTCGTGACACTGAGACGTCTGTCCAACACGCGTCAGTACAAACATGGAATATGAGTCTGAGTCTTATACTCATGTAGGTGAAACAGTTTTCTGATGACTACAAATCATCAAAACACTTAAGAAAGGTTTGACATTGTTCTAACTAACAGACTTCACCGCGTTGGTGTGTTTCACTGTTACACGTCTGCCTTATTGTTTCTTTTTGACTGTTCATTTTCATCTGTGTGCGAGTTTTACACTGACCAATCTGAAGCTGACCCAGCTGCTCTGACTGAAGATGAAGGATCCTCCAAACTCCAGGGGAAGCTGTCGGAGCTCCACGTGTTTCTGGACAGACTTTGGAGAGCTCAGCACCTCCACCTGCACAACAGAAACATCAACGCACACTTTAAAACATACATTCACACAAAGGTGTTTGTGAGCAGCTGCGGTGTAAAGTGTTACCTGTGTAGCTGCAGGTTTGTCCACACGCAGAGATGAGTCCTTGTTAGCAAGGATCAAAACACCGTGGATGGAGACTGGTGTGTCCTCCTGCTCTCACACACGCGCACGCACACACGCACACGCACACACACGCGCACGCACACACACACACGCGCACACACACACACACACACACACACACACACACACACCAGGAGTTTGTTCATGTATTTAGAACAAGAACCAATTGACCACATTTTCAGAGAAAACCACTAAAAACAGAATTAAACTAATAAAATACATCAGGAAACAAAACCGTTCTTAAAACGGGGCTAAAAACTGGAGTCTGGTTGATTTTCAGGTTGTTAGTCTGCTGGGGGTCGAGCTTTTCAGATGTTCTGCTTTCAGGATTTAAAGTTTGATTAATGCTAATAAATTCAGATAGAAATAGCCTGTGAGTCACTGAACCCATATATTAAAGAAAAGCACTGGTAGACAAAGAGTGCTGTTGTTGATGCGTTATACTCGCGACCTCTGACCTCTCTGGGTTCAGTCTGTCAGTGAAACCAGCTGACTGGAACTATACAAAGCTGTGTGTGGACTTGTTTCTAATCCATAAACGATAAATTTCAAAAGCAGCAGCAGAGCAGTCCTCCAACCACCGCAGTTTGTAACTAACGCCCCCTGTTGGTCACTGACCAATCAGAGCACATCATTAAGGAGCTCAGTTGGCCTCTGTAACCACACTTCTCTCTTCCTAAGTTTTCCAGTGAGGTGGAGATAAAGTTTACGGGAAAAAAACTTCTTTTTTTTTTAAACTAATTGACTGTCCCCTCGTTCCTGAAGGTCACTGACGATGTTCAGACCTGGATGCCAGAGGGGAGGACAGAGTAAGGATCCATAATCCATTTCCTGTTTGACCAGAAACTAAAAAACTGTGGCTGCACAGAAACCTACAGCTTCAACTTTGATACTTTAAACAGAAACAAGAAATCATGATTGAAAATGTAAAAAACATTCTCAGATTCATGTTCGATCAGAGATAAGAAGGACGACATATTCTGCTCTCTACAAATGTTTCTCCACTATTCACGTTCTGCATGTATTCCTCATCAGGAGCAGCTGCATCATTGTTTTAATAGGAGCTGAGATGCTGTCTCTCACGAGTGCATGTTTCTCTAAATGACTCCTGGAGAATAAAACTACTCTGAGGGGCTGAAACATGAGAGAGACTCCAGAATTAGTAAAGCCACCTTTTCTCGCACGCGCTCAGTCTGCAGCTCCACAGCACAGAGCTCCTGTCTCCAGGTAGCTCAATCATAACCAACTCACCTGCAGCGACCTGAGGGCGGAGTACAGGGCGGGAGAGGGAGCAGCTCCACGGGCATCCACCAACACCGTCAGCCCCGAAGCTAGCACCTCCTTCCTGTTCCATGAAAGCAGTGATATCAGAGGGTGGACAGCACAGAGACCTGGGTAACAACAGTAATAGAGGAGTGTACCTGAGGGTGGAGGTGTAGTAAAGGAGGAGGCGGGGCAGCTCAGTGCTGTCACAGTCCAGGTGGGACCACACGGGGCTCGTGGTGGAGACGGTAAGCAGCGCTCGCCCACCTTTGTCTCTGGTTCCTGCAGGAAGACGCAGCAACTTCATTTACACACAGAAACAATGACTCCAACTCTGAAGTTCAGTCTCTGCTCCACCTGCCCAACTTTATAAACCTCAGGCTGGAGCTTCTGACTGCCCTGATCTTAGTCTAGTCGGGTCTGAGGCCTGAAACTGGTTGGTACAAGACGTTTGTGTTTTCTCACCAGGCAGACAAACAGCTCCAGACCTCAGCAGCATACTGTACAGTCTGGACTGGGAGGACTGGGTGACAGGCTGGACTACCCTTGGAACAGCTGCTGGTTGTTCTGTCGGATTCGAACCAGCAGCCAGAGCAACCTCTGACTGGGCAGGACGCAGCTCACTGCAGAGGCCTGTGAAGAGATGCCGAAATGAACCTGTGTTACTCACAGTGTACTGACACAGCAGGCCTGTGAGGCCCAGTTTTCATGTATGACACAGATAATGGACATGTTCTCACAACTAGAAATACTGTGCTGCTGGGGTTCTCTCACACATGCAAAAAAAAAGAAAGAAAGAAAGAAAGACCATTTCTAGTCCAATCTGGCCATCAAGGACATTTTCATTCTGAGATTCAGCTCCGCCGGGTCATGCCTGCTAAATTTCAGGGCTGCGGTTAATGTAGTTAATGAAGAACTTTAAATGTTAACCTCAAAATGGCAAAACAGCTAAGAACCAGACAAAAGTGTCCTCACTGTCAAGGTCTCCACGTCTGAGGACACAAATACAACAGTGCACAGACTGCACACACACACACACACACACTGCCTGAAGACTTTAAACCACGAGTGTCAAACTCATTCACCGTCCACAAAGAGCTGAATTTAATCTCAAGCACAACCAAAATCATTCCCTTCTTCAGTTTTCAGTTTTTTGTTCACTTAAGTCAAGATGTTGTAAATAAGCTGAAACTGAAGTGACGTACGCCCCTCACCTCACTCCTTTAACATTTAACAGAAGGTATCAGCTCTTTTTTTTTTTTTTTTAAAAATCATTTTTCTCATTTACGGTAGTGAACTCGAGGAAAAGCAGATGCTAAACAGTCTGTAACATCTTAAGATAAACAACAAACTCCAGCCGTAGATCTCAGCTTTTCCACACTACTGGACAGGCATGGAGGCTTCACCTGTAGAGTTTCTAAATCCACAAAACTAGAAATGCCTTCATCTTTCATAGACTATCGCTGGCGTCACTGCAACAGGAACAGCAGGGGATTTTATTGACCAATAAAGTAATTCATAATTTTACACTTTTTTTAAAGCCATCTATTAGGTCCCACTGGATGATATAATTTGGATTTTAAATAAAGAGAGAATGTTTTCAGTTAATTCTCAGAGTCCAAGGGTTTCACAAAGTGCAAGTCAGTCGCAGGTGGGAAACAACCCCTGTGCTGTGGGGTATAACCCACAGGGGGTGCTATAATGAAAAGCAGAAACCTTGTGTACAAATATTAAAAGTGTGGAAAAACTTAAGTACAATAATATAAATATAAATAAATCATGCAGCTACTAAACAAAACAAAAAAGGTTTTCATGATGTTCATGTCTGAACTTACCAAATTGACCAAACTCAAATTACAAAACAAAATAAATCTATAGAGCAAAAAAGTTACGTGCTGATACACACAGACAACGTAGACTCCCTGACACGCGCTCTCACCAAACCTAACATGAAGACAGAGGATCTCAGCAGTTCCTGTGGTTATGCTTCCTCTGCATGAGATCTATCCAGGCTTCTGTGATTTTGTTCAGTAAACAAATATATCACCTGTGCATCCTTACTCAGTATGTTACTGTCAAGTGTTGGAGCCTATAAGGCAGCGCTCAGGGCAGCAGAAACTGACCTCTTACTGTTTTAGGTATTCTGGGTGATTTGTTTACATTATGATGCACAGAGTCGTTTTTAAGTTCAAAAGCTTGAGGTCATCAAGACTCTGCTGCATCTGAACACATCGTGATAAATCTGCATATTTTACTATTTGTTAAACAACCGGAGGGATGAGACGTTCAGCTTTCTCTGAACTGAAAGACACTGCAGAGAATTCCCCTTAATGGAGCCTGGAGCGAGAGCACAAGGCACACAACTTCCTGTCTGCTCTTGGGTAACAGAGGCAGAGCAGGCCGAAAAAAGGTGAATGGTCCTTTAAATGATCAACGCAGTCGTGTGAAATGTGAGATTTTATAGAAAAAAAACTGAAAACCTGACACAGGCTCGTTCACGAGCTGCTCCTGCAGCCACACAGGTGAGTTAAAACAGGAGGTGAAGTCGAGGGTAGTTTTAGTGAAAGAGATGCAAAGGAGGAACCACTCAGCCAATGAGGAGGAGGAGGATGTGATAAAGGAGGAGAAAGAGTGAGTCTGATGGTCTGTGGGAGGAAAAGCAGGAGAGGAAAATGTACTGAGGAGGAGAAACGGGTTCATGTACCTTCAGTGTGACACTCTGAAGCTCCAGCAGCCTCCTCACAGCTCCACTGCTCCTCTTCTTTTTGGACTTCCTGTCCACTGTTGGACTCCTCAGCTTTTGTCGGAAGCAAGTTTTGATGTGCTGCTGGTGTGGAGACGCAGTGCAGTGTTTTACACTCCTCCGCATTATTCTCACCAGTACTGGATTGATCAGATTCTTCTGTGGGTCCCTGAAGTGCACTGCTTTCAGAATAAAAGTCATCGCAATGTGCTTTGTTTTTAGAATAAGAGTCCCCAGGGTCAGGTGTATTTTCAGAATATGTGCTTGCTAAGTGAGAGTCTTCTGTATTATTTTCAGAAGAGCTCTGAGGTTGTGTTTCTTTTTCAGAATTAAAAGTTCCTTGATGTGTTTGCAGTGTGTTGCTTTCACAATAAGAGTCCCTGTGTTGTGTTAGATGTGTGCTGTTTTCAGAAAACAAATCCTTGATCTGCTTGTATCCTGTGCTGGGCCCTTCAGAGAATGTGTGCTTTGTCTGTTTTTCAGAATAAGAGTCCTTGTAATATGGTTCTGTTGCTGTTTTTTCAAAATAACAGCACTCAGTGTGACGCTGTTTATTTTTTTCTGAGTCAGCGTGTCGTTCTCTTGCTGTACTTTCAGAATAATAGTCCGCGAAGTGCGTTTCTGGTGCTGTGTTTTCAGAATACGAGCCCTCAGTGTCTGTTTCTTTTATGTTGCTTTCAGAATAAGAGTCTCTTGCCATCTCTTGCTTGTTATTTTCAGAATTAAAGTCACTTGAGTCTGTCTGTTTAGTGTCACTTTCAGAATAAGAGTCTTTGTAATGTGCTTCTCGTACTGTGTTTTCAGAATAAGAGTCCACCGAGTATGTTTCTAGTATTGTGTTTTCAGAATAAGAGTCCTGAATGTGTGGTTGTTTGTTATTTTCAGGATAACAGTCCTCGCAACGTGACTCTGTAGCTATGTTTTCAAAATAAGACTGCTCAGATTTACTTTGTGGTTTGTTGCTTTCAAAATAAGAGTCAACAGCGTGTGCACGCTGTGTGGCATTTTCAGGATATAAGGTTTCTGAGTCTATGTTTTTTATGTTTTCCGAATAGTCCACAGAGTGCGTTTCTGGTGCCGTGTTTTCAGAATAAGAGTGCTCAGTGTGTAGTGGTTGTTTGTTATTTTCAGGATAACAGTCCTTGCAATATGATTCTGTAGCTATTCTTTCAGAATAAGATTCCTCAGAATGTATTTGTGTTTTGCAATTTTCAAAGCAAGAGTTACTGGAGTGCGATTGCTGTGCATCACTTTCAGAATTTGAGGTTTTTACTGGTTTTATGTTTTCAGAATAAGAGTCCTCGTAGTATGGTTCTGTAGTTTTGCTTTCAGAATAAGAGCCCTGCCAGTGTTTCTGTTTTGTGTTATTTTCAGAATAAGAGTCTTTATAATCTGTTTCTGTTACCGAGTCGATGGAGTGTGCTTGTTGTGTGTTATTTTTTAAATAAAAGTCCTCAGATTGCTTTTGTTGTGCGTTACTTTCAAAATAAGAGTCTTTATCTGTGTGAACCTCTCCACATCCCTTTTCTTCTTCTGTCTCTCCTCCTCTTGCATCTTCTGTCACCATTTCCTCATCCTCATTTCTTTCTTTACTTTGTTGCACAATCACAACCTGTATCTCCTCCTCGACCTCTACTTCTACTTCCTCTGGGCCTTCTTCTACCTCATCTTCTCCATCTTCATTCAACTCGTCTTCTCCATCTCCCTCTGTATCTTCACTTTCAGCTTCCTCCTCATCACTTGGGAACTCTTCCTCCTTTGGCACCTCCTCTTCTTCCTCAGCAGCTGAAATTACAGCTTCCTCCTTGTTACTTTGCTCCTCCCCCCCCTCCTCCACGCTCATTTCTGTGCAGGTTTCAGGTTTAGTGTTCAGATTTGTGCCTGTGTCAGTACCTTTTGTTTCTTCCGATTCACAGATGGATGTTCCTGTGACTTCAGGAGGGGCAGAGGAGGAGAAAGGGGTCGGGACCACAGCTTCACGGTGGTCCTGGTGGATGCTCTCTTCCATGAGCCTGCAGGTTGCATCCTCACAGGGCTGCGGGAAGTTGCTGTGTGCGTGAGCAGTGAGTGTGGAAGCAGCAGAGTGTATGTTGGTGGTTTGAGGAGTGTGTGCGGTAGCAGCAGACAGTGTGTGTGTGGTGGTATGTGTACTTGTCCTGGCTCGGTGCTGCAGGCTGATGGACTGGGTTAAAGAGCCTTTCTGTGGGGAGAAGCGAGGAAGCGGGAGCTCCGTCAGCTCCACGTACTCCCCCTCCGAGTCCTCGCCCCCGCTGTTTGCTGGTGATTGGTCTGTTTTAGGCGAAGATGAGAGGTGCTTCACATCACTTGAAGAGGTTGCTTCTCTGTTGTTGTCAGATGATGTCTTGATTGCCACATCTTTGCCCTTAATGGAGGAGTCCTGGTCCTCCTTCGGAGCAGCACAGGGCCGACTGATGAATTGTGGGTAGACCAGATCCTCCCAGGGGACCCTAAAGACGTCTCCGTGGGTGGAGAGGAGGCAGCGCTCCAACCTGGATGCTCCGCGCTGCTCCCTCTCCCTGTTGACGGAGTCTAACCAGGCCATGCTAAAGAGCGACTGCAGAGCTACGCCAGACACCTCCTGCTGCTCCACATGATGGCTGCCGGCCGACTTGCTGCACAGGAGCAGGCGCGGTTTTAACGGGATGTCGCCCCTCCAGGAGGCCCTGTGTGCTCGAGGAGGGGGTGGGGCTGCAGAAGGAGAAACCAGCAGGTAGAAGTCTCCTGGACGGAGGAGGCGTGGGTCCAGATGACTGAGCTGCACGACTACCTTCTCGTGGATGCACAAAGGCCAGCCTTCATGACGAAACAGGAAACCACAGTACTGCAGCTGAGGAGAGAAGAGAGCATCCCAGTCAAGACAGAGCGTCATTAAAATCCTGGCTCTGAAGAATATCATCTGTATGGGTGCAAACTAACACCTTCTCCAAATATTGGAACCAAACAGAGCAACCACAGAGATTCAATTAAATCTGAGTAAAGTTCCCACCTGATCCCCTCAGAATCAGCTGATTTATCTCTTACAATAACTTTAATCTCTTTAAAGAAATCATGCAAAAGTTTACCTTCATTGTCAAATAACTTGCCCTAAAAGCACACGGGTATAAGTTGCCACTACATCTCTCCATGTGTAACAATCTAAAGCTAAAATCTTGCAAACTTTGAGCATCAGTATCACAGGATACATCATAGTTTTAATAGCAAAACCTGCACTAATTTAACATCTATGGCATAGAGCAGGGGTGTCCAACATGAGGAGCACAGACTCCAACCTGTCCCACTGGAGCATGTTGGAAAAGGTGAAGAAGAGGATAAATTTTGGAATTTCTTTCTTTAATGAAGCGAAATTCCTTTAACAGGTAGAAAAACACATAATTCTGAAATTGCAATGTGTAGTCAAACGTCTTTTCACTGCCACACACAAGAGATTCACTGATCCGACCCACTTAAGATGAAAGTGGGCTCCATGTGGCCCAGGTTGTAAAATCAACTGGACATCCCTGGCACGGAGGAACAGAAACGAGCACTGGAGCACGGAGGGCAGGTGGCTGGTCAAAACACTCCAACAGCTCCATTTTAAAACTTGTGAATTTCACTGTGAAATGAAGAAACCACACTGTTGTATATAGCAGTCTCAACATGATGATCAAACAACTTTAGGCCCTGAAGATTTTCAAAGTTCGTGAAGGACACAGAGGATCCACGGATGATCTGTCTGCAGGTTGTTGCACCATCTCCTGTTCAGCTTGTGACAATTTTCTCTGGCGTAAGATGCCACGTCCCTTTTATTTGGTTTACTAAACTTTAGAGGGGAAACTAAAAGTTTCTCTGCATTTTCATCCGCTATTCGGATCATGCAGTGATCCTGAGACTTCATTTAAACCCACTCCTCTGTATTCTGAGGGCCTGTGACTTGGAACATTTTGCATAGCCTCACTAACAAAAGTGAGAAAATACAAGAAGTGAAAAAACACAAAAGCTTATTTTGAAGGGCAGGTACTGGTTGATCTGTCATTAATATTTTTTAACAAGAGAACAGTGCTTAAAAGTCCATGTTTGGCAGCTGTGGCACATCTGTATCCACTTAGGCTGCTGTAGCTGCTCAGTTAATGAGTCCCTCAAACAGTCTGACATCTTTCTGTTCATTTACAGTCAAAAGTTGCATCACAAAGAAAAACACGCAAACTAGAGAGCAGCAGAGCCTCCCCAAATCTGACGGGACGTGAACGCCCAGCAGCGAGCACGTGAGCTTTGGAGTCGAACACGTACGACAGGCAGGAACAGACACGAATATTCTGTGAGTCGTTTGATTCAGAAACAGTGATAATCTGTGCAGAGATTCCTGTCTGTTCTTGTGTTCACCATCCAACCTGATGTAACAACAGACTACAGCAGAGTGAATCCACAACAAACAGACACTGAGCGTAAGTTAAGGACGCTTAAAGGTGTGATGAGATTACTCGGGGAAATGCAGAGATACTCACACAGGCATCCTGCTGGAGGTTTTGTAAGAACTGCTTTGCCGGCAGCAGGAAGTGGAGGAGGTAGCGGAGGCCGTCTCCTCGGTAACAGCGCTCCACAACGCTGAGGACCTGACAGAGGACAGTTGGGGATGTGGCTTGAAAGGGTGGGTAGAGGGCTGCCAGAGCCGACTGGATGCACCGGTCCAAAGATTCAGAGTCCTGCAAAGAGTAAGAGACGTTTTACTTCAAAGGTAATTTATTTCAGCTGGCAAATCTAAGAGCTCAGACACACTACAGAAGAACCTTTAAACACACAAGGTTTCAATCTTCTTTAATGTGAGCTTCAGACGACACGATAACATCTCAACTGTGGATTGAAGTTGAGAGCTGGTAACAAATTGTCATCACCATCTGAATTTTATGCCTCTGTGCTTATCAAACAATCAATGCTGGCATGTTTTCCTGAAAGGTGGAGATTGCAAAACAGCAACGTCAAACTCACTTGTCAAACTTACTACCCTGCGTTAAGAGACTGATAATAAAAGAGTTGCGCTGACACTGAAAACAATGTGCAGGCCTAATTCTTTCCAAGTTTACTTTTACTGTGCGCTGTACAGTACAGTATCTGATGCAGACTGACTGTTTTGTTTATTTGTTAGTTTAAGGAAGTCCTCTCTGGCTCCTCTGTCCTGATTTTATCATGCTGCTGATAAAAGACGTCTCTCAACCAAATCGCTCTATAATGAGCCACTCAGACCAACAAAAGGTGCTTTCATGGTATTAAAGAATAATCAGTTTCAGCTCATGTGGCCTTAATGCTGGGCTGTGTGTCACAATCAGCAGTAGAACAGCCCAAACTGCAGAGGATACAGGAGAGAACATGTGAGTGTGTGTCTGCAGAACATCCAGCTGTTGTCTTTAAAAACGCCACACCTCTGCATCACATTCCAGAACAGACAACAGCTCCTCTGTTCCCATCTGTTCAGACTGATCAAAGGGACTGATCGGATCGCCTCGGAGACCACAGCAGCTTCCTCTCCTGCTATGACCACACGTCATGTGAGTGTGCTGCACCTCCACGGTCAGCTGTCGTGTGTCCGTAAAGCTGCTCTCACACTCATGTGTGCTTCCAATTGACACATTTGATTAATGTTTAAGGCCAAGCACAGAAGGCAGGCCCTGGAGGTGTGGCTGGGAGGCCCCGTCTGCAGCGGTAACTGGACCCACTGGTCTGGAAGTAGCGGCGACTGGTCAGGTAAAAATATCCGCACCCCGTCTGGCTCCAGACAGCCCTCTGAGGTGCGTGCGTCCATGCCTCCTCTTCCTCCTCTTTAATTCAACATGTCTAACATTCCAGGCAGAAGCACACTGACTGGCAGCTCCACCCTCAGCGTCGGCTTCACTCACACAGACAAATAAGCTCAGTTTTCCTCCTTTTCCTGTCGTTAACAATCCAGGAGCAGCAGGCCGCCGCTGTGCAGCACCTGAGAAGCACCTGCAGCTACAAACCAGCAAGGAAGCGATAAGAAAATTTAATTTTCAACCAACTCTTCACTGTGAAGAGGAAGTAACACAACAGAGACCATTAAAGGTCTGCAGTGGACAATTATCGGCATTCAGTTTTAAATATTAAAAAAGAAAACCCTTTTCATATTTTCCTGTGTTTTTAGCACCGCCAGGAAGGACGTTTCTATGGAAATAAGGGTGACGCTAACACAGCTCAACAGAACCAACACACCAGGGTAAAGTGTGGTGGGATGGAGCGCCAAGTGTCAGAAAAATAAAGGAAAAAGAGGTTTTGGCATGAGTTGAATGAAACCTGCCACAGCCTCTCTTTTTTTTCTTCTTTTAATTGTTTCATGTCAAATTTCTTGCTTTCATAGTCGCTGGAAACCAGGATTGTAACCAAGATTACATTTTGATGAATTGCACAACTATACAGAACTATGCACAGCGTCACTGGAGAGTGGTTTGGGGTGGAGCGCGTTCTTGAAAGAACAGTGTAATAGTTCCAGATAGCTGAAATGCCCATCCCTGATAATTAACTGTATTTATAATGAAGTTAAAAACAGGTTTACCAAGTGCTTTACAGCTATACATCCAAGCAAAGTTAAACAAACGCAGCACATTATAAAACAGAAAATACAGAAACTCAGTAATCGAGACTGATACATAACTTGTCGTAAAATACATAAAAAGCTGTTTTATAAGCTTTAAAAGTGGATACGAGGGCAGCTCGTGTGATTATCAGCTGAAGCTTCAAGTGGAGTCTGTCTGTCGCCTGGCCTTGGGGACCAAAGGCAACAGCTGGTCCGAGTCTACAAGGAGGCATGCGAGTTTAATATAAGACTGGGGTTGGGCAACAAATTTTAATGTCATGAGCGATTTTGGCATCCGATGGTTATGAAAACAAGATAATTGCTACAAAAGCTCTCTCTCTCTCTCTCTGGTTTATTTTTGGCATTTTAAGTCTTTATTTGACAGCATTGTGTAGCGAGAGGAAGATACAGAGAGAGGGGGAGGGGCAGCCCGGAGCTGCCCAAGTCCAGTCCAAACCCACGTCCAAAACCATCCTCACCTCCATCCATCCTTATCCTGTCTGCTATGGCAGCAGCAGGCTGAGCAGGACGTTCCAGATATCTCCTCCCAATAATGTTTTCCAGTTCTTCCCAGGGCATCCAAGTTGCTCCCAGACTAGACAAGATATGTAATCTCTCATGAATTGAAGGTCAATCCCAGTTGTTTACTCCCAGTTGGGGTTGTTTGGAAAATTTAAGGCTGAGCTCAGTTTGGCTGCTTTTGTCCACCACAGCTCACGAGCACAGTTGAAGGCCGGAACAAAGATCAACTGACTCCACTTTCTCTTCCCCACAACAGTCTGGTACAATGCCTCATGCTACCTCTACTTACCCATGCTCCACCATCTCTAGAGATATCTGCACTCCCTTGGTTGGTGCAGCAACGTTCCTCGATTCCCAGAAGGAGCAATCCACCATTTTCCAAGAGAGAAATGTGGCCTCTGACTGAGAGGTGCTGACCCTTATAGCAGTCACTTCTCACTTTGCTACAAACCGCCACATTGCAAGATCAAAGTCACATCCTGATGAACACGTCTTTCATTCACATTTCACTTAAAGTTCTAAATGCTTCGTGTAAAACCCGTTCTTAAGTGAAAGCTGCTTCTTGTTTAAGTTTGTGAATACTCAGATTCAAGTACTGACCCAAATAAGCGCATGACTCCTGCTGTAATCAAGCAGTTTTAACATAAATCAGTTGAGATCATCTCTGGTAGCAGTGCAGGGAGGGGGAAAATGGGAGACACGCTCGCCGTTCTCAGCTGCACACTTCGGCACATTCTGTTGATGATTTCTGGGACCGTTACAGAAATCCAGATCACTGCAGATAACAGCATGACAGAGTTTGTGCATCATCCATGGTCTCTGTGATAAAGGACGCCTTCAGTGTGTCTTCATACTAAACTGATACCATCAGTCACACCGAGTTGCGAAAAAAAATCTACCTTCATTGTCCTCCAGAGGGCAGAATTCACGAGGCAGGTGCCTTCAGGCGCCAGCATTAAACGACTGGAGGCTTACAGGTGACAGTTGTTTAAGTCACAAAAGCTTATGTCATGATTTTTAATGCACCAGCATCTTTTTCTACTGAATGTAAGCACAACATCGGCAATGAACTCAAGTCCAAGTTCAGTTTAAAGACAACCAGTGTTGACTAAATCATGGATATAATCCTGACAACATAGGTTATTCCTAATTTGCTAATAAATTCATAAAGATGTAAAAACTACAAATATGACAGAATGTGTAACTGAGTGTTTGTGTTTTCTTTTTCACAGCGCAGACAGATGGTGATGTAAGACAGCACCACGATCAACATCAGAGTCTTATTTATCTGCTGTATGAGTCTCAGATGCAGAGATTACGTCACTGCATCACAGCAAATAAATAAATAAATAAAATAAATTGAACATTATTTTCTGTTTTTCTAAGCAGCTTCTTTAGCGTTTAAATTCTCCTTATTTGACTTTGTCCTGACTGTAAAGTTTGACGCTTCTGTTTATCGGCCGTATTCAAAGCGCCCACAGACCTGTTGAACTGACCCTGCGGTGATGTCACTAACAGTTTCCAGTTGTGTCGTCCTGCTCAGCCAGCGTTCCCCTTCAGCCTCGGCTGAATATTCTGGATGTGAATCAGGCGACAACTGGCAGCCAAATGCAACACTGAGGCCAATATTAGCAGCAGGATATCAGATGACAGCTGGTGCAGAGGGACAGGGGACCGGGGGGGGGGGATTTTTGTGCTGCTGAAAAGCACCGCGGCAGGTTGTGGACGGTCATGAGTTTAAAGTGCTGATGCAAACAGAGACCGATCGTAAACACAGCGGCGCTCCAAAAGTTACAACCGGAGTGAAAATAAATGGGCACTGATGGACGTCTCTGCTGACGTGACACTGACACAAAGCTGGCAGCTTCATCAACGACAGAAATTTACAGATTCATCGCTGCACCGCCAAACTTCAGATCGTTTTGTAAACCGTGGACAGTTCGTATTTACTACATTCAGATCTTATACTGTCTATGGCCTACAAGTAAGAAAGCACTGTGAAAATACAGCATGCATATGTAAGAGCTATTTGAAAATGTGAAATATAGACATTCTTAACTCATCATAATAAGGCCAGTATGTTAACGTATGTTTAGATCATCTTCTCTGAGGTGCGATGCGCTAATGGTCTCTCCTTTTCTGCATTAGGACTCTTAATATGCATTAATACGTGTTTCAAGAACCAGAAAACCTCAGTGACACAGTCCAGGAGGAGTAAACCCATTAAACATACTTCACATCTTTTATGTTGCTGATATAAACTGTAAACCTACTCTGTTGTGTAACGGCATGAAAAGACTGTAGGAATCACGATGTATATAAAAGCGAGGATTACAGTATTAAGACTGCAGCTCAGGCTTGCTTTGAGAGGGTGAGGAGGATGATGGGAGGGGGCCGCATCAAAGCAGGCTGAGAGAGGTTCCCATGGGAGAAAGAGAGAGGCCACCCACTCTGAATAATAACTTCATTATCCTCAACACACCAGAGTCCTGTGATAAAAACACTGCTTTTACTTTCATTCAGATTTACAGAGTTTCAGTCAGTTCGGCCTCTAATCCGGAGTGCAGCAACAGAAGAGTCTCACTCCTGAGATCACTT